TCAAGAAGCAACAGTGAGAACTGGACACGGAACCACTGATTGGTTCAAAATAAAGAAAGGAGTTCGGCAAGGCTGTATACTGTTGCCCTGTTTATTTAACTTATATGCAGAGCACATCATGAGAAAGGTGGGGCTAGATGAATCACCAGTTGGAATTAAGATTGCTGGGAAATATCAACAGCCTCAGATATGCAGATGATACCACTCTAATGGCAGAAAGTGAAGAGGAACGAAAGAGCCTCTTGATGCGGGTGAAGGAGGAGAGCGCAGAAGTTGGCTTGAAATGCAACATTAGGAAAACTAAGATAATGGCATCCGGTCCTCTCACTTCCGGGCAAATAGATGGGGAAGAAATGGAGGTAGTGGCAGATTTTATTTTCTTGGGCTCCAAGATCACCGCAGATGGGGACTGCAGCCAAGAAATTAAAAGATGTTTGCTCCTGGGGAGGAATGCTATGGCAAATCTAGGCAGCATACTAAAAAGCAGAGACATTACCCTGCCAACAAAAGTGCGTATAGTCAAGGCTATGGTTTTCCCAGTTGCAATGTATGACTGTGAAAGCTGGACCATAAGGAAGGCTGAGCGCAAAAGGATTGAGGCCTTTGAATTATGGTGCTGGAGGAGACTCCTGCGAGTCCTTTGGACTACAAGGCAATCAAACCGGTCAGTCCTAGAGGAGATCAACCCTGACTGCCCTTTAGAAGGCCAGGTACTGAAGATGAAACTCAAATTCTTTGGCCACCTAATGAAAAGGAAGGACTTACTGGAGCAGAGCGTAATGCTGGGAACAATAGATGGCAAAAGAAGAAGGGGATGGCAGAGGATGAGGTGGCTAGATGGAGTCACTGAAGCAGTTGGTGTGAGCTTGGGTGGACTCCGGGAGATGGTGGAGGACAGGAGGGCCTGGGGGAATGTTGTCCATGGGGTCGCAATGGGTCGGACATGACTTCGCGACTGACTAATAGCAACAAGAACTGTTCTTCCTATTGATCTTAGGCTGTGTTTTACTCTGTTTCATGTCTACTGGACACCATGACATTTTGAAAGGGATTCAGTAAATTGCTGGTGGTAGTGTAAAGCTAATGCTACTTTTAAAGCATAAGAAGCTAATGCTTCTATAAAATATATTTTGGTGAAGTGTAGCAGTAGCTTTTTTGAGAGGGGTTATTATACTGATAAATGTTGTATTGAAACAGCCTGTAATACTTCCTAATGTCCACACTCTTTTAAATTATTTATTTCATGGAAATTAACAAATGGTTAGCACAAATAGATCCCTGAGACTTTCTGACAGCTAAAGGAGTGATATTACAGTTTGGAAGAGGAGAGCTTTGACTGTTGGGCAGTATAGAAATATAGTAAATACAAACACTCAGTTCCTATAATGCAATCAAAGCATTTACAGTGCTTTCAATATTTTGAATGGATGGTGCATAGACACTATCTTCAAGTGCATACTTATTTGGATATTTGATCTGTTTTTGTTTCTGTTTCCGTCTCTGTGTAACTGTAGAAAGTTGTATCTATTTGAGAGAAATCCATGTATGCTTGTTACAGGGGCAGGATCTTTTTATAAATTTGGGTGTCATTATGTTGGAAAAACTTTGCAGGTGCTTTTGGAGGATCCTGTTGGAGATTCCTGTACTGGACAATACTTAAACAATGGCAAATTTGCCCCTGTTCCACTCTCCCTTTCAGATGCATTGATTTCAGAATATAATTACTCACTGAATCCAGAGTATTTGAAAAAAGGGCAAGCAGGGATGCTGCAGTGGTGCTTTCTGGTGCATTTGAGAAGAAACAGTTACCATTCCCATCCTCGTTATATATATCTTTTGGTAAATAGAAAAGAGTAGTAATATAAGCAGTTATATTGCCTCAATAATCGGAGTTATATTGCCTCAGTCAAATGTGGGGGGCAAGGGGAAAATGGCAATGACTACTGTCTAAAACTAGGAATGAGAAATAGTGAAGCTAAGGTAACAGTTCAGGGAGCTGTTTATACAACAGCTCGGTTATACAACGGTGAGGAATAGAGAGCCAAAGAGTCATAGTGGGATTCAGCAGATCTGGGTTTTCTAGTCCGTGTAAAGCTCACTGGGTGACTTTGGGGTAGTCATAGACTCTCAGTCTAACCTGCTTCACAAGGATATTATGAATATAAAATGGAGAAAAAGGAGAACCGTGTTAGCTGGGTTGCTTTCCTTGTAAGAGGAGTAAAGACAGCATGAAGGTAATAATATTTTATTAATAATAATTAGTTTGAGATTTAGGTGATCAAAGAGTTTTCAGTGGTGTTCCTGCTGATAATTTTCATTTCTGATAAAATTGTCTTCTCTCCCCTTTCTTTCAGTCAAGAGATTGTAAAGTTATTGGAGATCCAGAAGGTGCTGCTAGCTATGGAAGGACAGCCAGGTTCCTGAATATTGCTGCACTTCTGCTGGGCATCATTGTCTTCCTTGTTGTAATCGCTGGAGTTGCTTCTAGTACAGCATTCATCAGTAACAGTATTCATGATATAATGAAGGATATACATGACCAGGAAATTGAAGAACATTTACATGGGAACTAAATAGTACAGCTAGCAGTATATCCTTTTTTTTATTGCATTTGAATGTTCCCCACTATTTTACTTGCAAGGAGTAAGGTCTTCCAACAAAGCAGGTACCACAGCTTGCATTTCTGGAGACACAATATTTATATGAGCAGTGTTTTATCTGTCCCATAGTTTTGGTTTTATTTCTCCAATTTCTATTTCTAATGGGAACCATTACTGTTTCCTCTGTTTTTTCAGTATTTTGAATAATTTATCACAATGTTTATTAGAGTTCTGCATTTCATTCTGAAGACTGGTGAATCCTGACCAAATAAAAACATGTCCTTTGATTTTGTGTAAATAATGTTTTGTATGTTTGTCGAGCTACTTAAAACTTCAGGACTAAAATTTTCAAGCTTCCCACTGGAGAGTTTTTCAGCTCAGCACTCTTTTATTTTGTAGTCCTTGTTACATATACTTCTTAGGGAAAAGCATGGAGATAATGTTGGCCTCTGAGCTACTCCAAAGCTTGATGGAATGCCAGGTTCAGAGGTTCATACAAGCCATGTTGGATGATGCCCTTGCTCTTTTAACATCCTCTTCTTGGAATGCCCAGGATACTTCAGTGCTCTAGTCTTTTCCCAGCTTCCTTGTTTTCCAAACTCAACTGTACAACCCAAAACCTACACATAATCACTTTGTAAGCCTTTAGGGAAATGCAATTCTGCACCACAACAGTTTTGTCTTCAACTGCAACCATGCACATTTTCTAAGAAAGGCATGGAGATAGTACCTGTTTGTTCTCTGCCCTCTGATTTCCCACCAGTTACTGAGACTCTTTCCTCTTGCTCCATTGCTGCTAAGTTTACTAAGCAGAACTTGAAAGCTTTTGTCATGAACCCTCTAAAGGGTCAGTGAAACAACCTAGCTTAGGAGAAGTTATGTTGATTTTTCTCCTTACAAGATTTCTCTTTCTATAGGTTGGGCAATTTTATTTTTAAACACACTTTTCATAAATTTAGTTAGCATTATTTCCTCTTATCCATCTCACTACAGCTTGAACCCAGGCTGCTCAGTTCAACCCACAAATGAGTTAGTGGTAGAGAAAGTTTGGTTACATGTGTTCACTTTTACATGAAAATCAATGTTGATGAATGTCTTTAGGCAACATTTGTTCCCCCAAATGAGCCATAATTTCAAAATCCATAGCAGTATTTAAAACCAAAGAGGCGATTTCCCATCTTTCAGTGTTTATATCCAGTGAATGTCATCAGTAATTGACACCCAAGTTCTAGAGAAGGGGTTTCTTTGCTAATTCTGAAGCCTTTGAGAGGAAAGTTCTATCTTGATGTAATGTTACATTTTCCTAGTGGAAAGTGATTATTGCTTCTGCATAAAAACAACTAAGAAATTCAGATGTTTATTGCAGTTGTGGTGGGATATGCTGAAGTAGCATATCCATTCTGAAATAAAATCTACCAAAGGCAGGAATTCTTGCTGTTGTAATTTAGGTCCTAATTTTGTGCCACAAATTTGATCCTTGTCCCAAGTTTTTAAACATTTAAAAAATTATCCAGCCAATAAAAATGAAAGGCACTGTTATATACCTACACTATAGGCATAATAGAGTGTGGCTTACATCCATGCTGCCAAGAAGCCCACTGCTTTACTCACACTCTTGAGGGAGATTAAGTGGGCTGTAGCACAAGGGCAGGGTGGTAGCAGAAGGGTGAACAATAAATTTCTTTTACACCATGGTAAAAAGGCAGTGTATGAGTGGATAAATGTTTGTCATAAACTTCAAAGGTGTACAATTTGCTCTTAGTTTTGGAAAGGAGAAGTGGCATTTTGTAGACGGCCAAAGTGGTATAGCTGAGTTTCTAGGGGATCCAGGTTGCAGTCCCCGCTCAACCTTGTTGCTCATTGGGTGACTTTGGGCCAGTCAGACCCTCATGCTAACTTAGCTCAAAAGGTGGTTGTTGTAAGGATAAAAATTAGGATGAGGAATGTGTAAGCTGTCTCGAGTTTCCTGGAAGGAAAAAGGGCCAGATATAATTACAGTAAGTAATTAAATAAAAATAGCCAGAAGAGAACGGTTTGATTACTCCACTCCCAGTTCTGTTTCTCAAATCAACCTGAAACCTTTATGAGCAGTTTGCATCCCAGGTTTGTTAAACTGTCTTAAAACACTGCAGAAGTTATTACCCTGGCCAGGTGCTTTTTGTCAATTTCCTATTTGGTTTTCAACAGTAAATATAAACCATAAAATGCATCTCAGGATACAGGTCTGTTCAGCTGTGTTGTCCCCTCTGGGACTCCCTCCTAGGTCAAATCTAGTTAGTGCTCAGTTGTATGCACACTTCCCATGTATACAGTTTGATTTCTATAAAGCGCCTATGTCCATCTAGAAGCCAATGACTTCCATGAAGCTGCATACTAATTGTACTTTCACTTCACAGATCATGCCAGGTCAACTGTAAGTTGGTTAGTGTGTCACTCTTAACCTTTGTTTATTCCTGTGCTGATAATCTAGGCAAGAGAATAAATTGTAGAAGCTACATATAGTCTGAAAGCCTCTTTGGACCTTTGTTTCACAGACATACACTTGTCAATCTGTCTTCCTAGGGGCAAAAGTGTATCACACTTATCAGTAGTCAATCTTCATTTCATCCATGTCCTCTACCCAAAAGCAGAGTATGCCATTGGAAACATCCTATAAATATATCATGTCTTTCCCATGTTGGGAAATTTCAGATAAATCCTTGTAGAAGAACGTTGCTTATGTGTGCCTTTGTGTTATGAAATCAAATCTACACCTCTTTCTCACAAAGCAGCAGAATTCCCAGCCAGGTTGCTGTTTAGTGTTGCTGTTGCCTTAAGAAGATGGCATTCTTAGACTGAGAAGCTGTTGGAGGCTAATACTATTAGTGAGGAAATACCTGTGAAAAACTGAAACAATGGCACCCATTTGGCATTGGGGCCAACTAAACATCTAGTCCCACAGAGGCAAGTGCCTGCTCAGTGTAGTTGTCAAAGCAGACTACCTGAATGCTTCCTGCATCAGACATATTTGCATGTTTAAACCCACAGACCTGGCTCACCTGAACTGTCAAGAATTTGCTAGACTGACCTATCAATACAGCAATCAGTAATGTTTTCCATACTATTGTTACCAATATTTCTGATTGATTTAGAATATTATGTCATGCCTAAAGACATCAAGATGCTATTGTACCAACATTATCTAGAAACTTAGCACTCTGTATTGGTGTACATGACTAGCAGGTTGTAAAAGTGTCTGTACAAGGGCTGTGATTTTGTATCTGAGTTTGCTTCTACCCAGTAATATATTATTATTAGTGACTGCAGGTACTGGGGCACCGTTCAATAAAGCAGCAGAGGTTCAAGCATTTGATCTTTCCCACAGACCTGAGTGTTTATTTCCTTGCAAATTGAAAACTGAGATTCTGTCACTCAAAGAGGTTTTCAGATTGATTTCAAGGAAGGGTTTGCTTCTGGTCTTCATGCTGCATTGACTGCAAGGAAGGATGGCAAAGACCCCTGTTATTTATTTATTTAGAAAATTTCTATGCCACCCCATTCACCGAAGCCTCGGGGCAGCTCACAACATAAATAACTTCATTTAAAATAATATAAATTAACAGTATAAAATAAATTAACTGTATAAAATAAGTCACCCTGGCCAAAGAATAAAATAAATAAATACAATTAACAGTTAAAATGACGTTTGAATAAAAAGGTCTTCGCCTGGCGCCGAAAAACAAATAACGACGGCACCAGGCGGACCTCTCTGGGGAGCGCATTCCATAGATTGGGCGCCAACGCAGAGAAAGCCCTCCTCCAAGTACTCACCCTCCTAATTTCCTTCACGGAGGGTTCCTGGAGAAGGGCCTCTCCCGCAGATCTCGGGGCGGGCGGGCATATATGGACGTAAGCGCTCCTTCAGGTAACCAGGACCCAAGCCATTTAGGGCTTTATAGGTCATCACCAACACCTTGAATTGGGCCCGGACTTCAATGGGAAGCCAGTGAAGCTGATGGGGGACTGGGCGTT